TTGTCTTGGGGTGTTTGGGAGTTTTGTTTGTTTGTTTGTTGTTTTTGTCTACAGACTGAGAGCAGATGACCTATAATAAGTACCCTCTGTGATTTTTTTTTCCTGTGGCTTTTCTCTTCAAAATTACTCCTGAGAGCTGTTAACTACTTCAGAAAATACGATGAACAGGTGTAGACAGCTCCCGCCCCCTCAGAGGGTCTTCCTGGGTCTTAGAGGTCTGCCTGTGAAACTGAAATTTCAACACTCATGGAAGGCAGCTGGTAAGGGATCACATCAGGAAAAGTCAGGTTCACTGTAGATACTTTTCCTATGCCTCTGTTTTGCTTTTCCTAAAGCCTCTCCCAACATAATTTAGTTAGGAGACATGCATTTTCAGGACAAAATCCTCATGAAACTGCATCCTATCTGAACAAATTTGGGTAGATTTTATAGCGTCCAAGGTGAAAGGCATGATGTTTTCTCAGAGCCCAGGAAGGAGAGACACTTGGTTCTTTTAATTCTGATAACATGCATGGTGTCCCAGGGAACTTCCTGAAGTTTCCCATTGAGCTGAATTGGATCCAAGACCTATTTTTTGTTCTGAGGGATGTGCTTTGCAGTTGACACTCCGGGGAGCAGGTTAGTTCTTTAGAACCTTTTTTTTTTAATCTGTTTAAATGTAGAAATTTTGGGTTCTTCTGATGCCAGTTCCTTATAGATAGTGCCATGGTATTGTAAATTGGAGTATGCAGCCGTCCTAGTGGCAGTAAGAGGTTGTTCCATTTGTTCCTATAAAAGGTTTCAAAAACAGATTTGTTTCTCATTTCTCAACTGCAATTAATGCCACACTTACGAAAGTTTAAAATACCACCTTCCACTGTAAATTATATACCAGTGGGTATCACTGTGACTGGATGAGCTTTAGGCCATTGAAGAAAACTTGACTTCCTTCATTCATTTCTTTCTCTCTTTTAAAGTCTTCCCAAGAAATGCAAATTCTTTTCCAGCTGGCTTATAATTGAACTGAAACTCACCTTTAATGCTTTCTGTGCCATCCTTAGTGACCTTCCTTGCTTTACTGCACTCTGAAATGCAGCCATCTCTCTGGGCTGGTGCCCAAGGGCTGCCAAAGTCACCAACCTGTTCACTAGCAGACAGGGAGACAGCCAGGAACCCACCAGGACACAGACGCAGCTGGAGTAGCACACGCTCTCAAAAGGATCTCCTGTCCGTTTGCCTTTTCTCTTTGAATTTCAAAAAGCACACCTCCAATACTGTACTGTACACTTCCACAGTCTACGATGTCCATAGAAATCTTTAGTACTTTGTATATGTTAGAATCAGTCAAGAAGTTCTACTCCCAGAAGAGTGAAAAATGAATCAATACTATACAACAGACTTTCATTTTTCATTAAAAAAAATTATTCTTTTTCTATGCTCAGCTTTCCTGCCAGTTCATGTGCCCTAGCTGCTTAGTTCTAATACAATATTTGGCACATGGTAGGTGTTCAATAAATGTTAGCTAAGGAATCAAAGAAATATACGGTTAGCCAAACAGAAGTACCACCCAGATAGTCTTTTTTCACCTCAAAACCAAAAGTCAATAGGCAATAAATGAGGTCCACCAGCTGAGCTTTGCTTTGAGAATGCTTGATCTCGAAACCCTGGGTGAGAAGGGAAAGCAGTCCAGACAAAGGCAAGAGGAAAACGATGGTCCATGTCAGAGCTGATGGAAAGTGGCCTGACCTAGTCCCAGTGTCACGGATATGCCTAGGTAGGGGTGTCGAACTCAATCAGAGAAGGGGCCAAAATCTAAAATCCAGCCTAAATCGCGGGCCGAATGGTTTACTGAACAGTCATAAACTGTCATTGTGATGGAAATGCAGCGGAGTGCAGTGATGACAGCGTGGTGCGGGCCACATTGCAAGGCCTGGCGGGACGGATTTGGCCCTCGGGCCTTGTGTTTGACACATGTGGCCTAGAGTGACCACACTGGTATTCAGCTGCCATAGTGTTTTCCTGCTTTCCGTTGCTCTTTCCTGTTTTTACTTAGCAGACAGGATCACTGCATGGGATGAAACATGACAGGGACATCAAGCCTTTTAAAGATCTACTTGTCTTTCTCTAATGGTCTACATGCTAAAAACCAATGATAAGCATCCTGGATATTAGCTATGAACTAAAACATGGCTTTGCATCATGTATTCTGGAGGGAGGGAAAGATCATCTCATTCCTGTTTGTCTTGACTAATAGAATACTAATGGCTGAGAAGCATTCTTCAGGTCTCAGTATTTGTGCTTTGAAGGGAGGGTGGTAAAGGAGATGTACATACTTCCTGTATCCCATGCTACAATACAAAACACACACATGACTAGCTGTGTGTATGCACAATGTGAGTTATGTGATTTGACCAAACAAGGGAGTGGCATACAGTTCCCCAAATTGTCTTATTGTCTTTGGTTCATGTCTTTACACATGTCCAGAAGGGCATGACAAGATAAAAGATTTGAAAACCTTACCATAGAAAGATCAGAAATAGATTCTGACTTATCCCAGAAAAAAAGGAAAGAATTAAAGGGGATTGGTGACTGCCTTCAAATACTAGTGATCTGTTCTGTGTGGTCTCAGGTAGTAATGCTACAAATGATGACTGGAGCTTCCAAAGGGGCATTTCCAAACCAGTATAAGCAATAACTACACACCAATGGGCTGCCCTGAGGTGATGAGTTTCTCAATGGAGGGGATTTCAAGGGGGAGTCTGATGATTGCTCCTCACATGTTACCACAATGTGTCTTCCTTCAAAGACTCCTGCAACTTAATATCAAGTGGCAGGGATGGCTCATAGGCAGCAATTAAACATTTGCACTGTGTGCTCATGGCGCTGGGCATAAAGACACTCATGTGGAATGTGTTCTCTCTCTTGTAATTCATTTGAGATGCTCCTTAGAGAACATAGGGTAAGAGCCCAGCTGGTAGGGTGTGAGTAGCCATAGGTGGGAAAAACTCAAAGACAGAAATGTACAGTTGGATAATGTGGTTATTAAATAATCTTGCCTGAATAGAGGGCATACTTCAAGAATGAGAGGAGTCAAGGAGAACTGGGTCATCAATAAACAATAGATCCACATAAAAGGATAAAAAGACAGTACTATTTTATTGTTGAGTTATTAATCCCATAAATAATGATATATACCCTCAGTATCCTCACGTACTCTAAGTTTTTCTTCCTGGTGCTAAGAATAAAAAAGGTAAGTACAGTCCATGATGGGTTCATATATGTTCCCAAAATCAGGATTCAGTACATATCTTTTCACTGATTTTCAGATGATTACTTGGGGTTTTGATATACTCTGGAATTACAATAATTTTACTATATATGCCCTTTCTCTTAATTTTTAAAGCAACAACTATTTTCAATATAATAAATCAATTGTTACCACAGACCTTTTTTCAATAAAAGATCTTTTACTGACAAGAATATCACTGTAAATGCCTTTTCTCCCTAAAAAAAGTCCACATCAGTTTGTATTGTTGTTTTTCTAATTTTCCCATTAAACTAAAAGACTAATTTCTCCCTGAGATAATTATAACAGGAATTAATTCTGATTTACTATTTCTAAACAAAGAAATGATCCTATATGTCAAAACATCCAAACCATATAAAGTTTAGGTAGAGGAAAGTTTAAATATATTCTCATTGGGACCATGATGCCTCAGGTCTATAAACAGCAATTCCTTTTCTCTAAAATCTGGTTTATACTTTTCTTTAAAACAAAATCTCCTCAAGAATAAGTCTAAAGCCTAAAAAGCTAACTTTAATATTCTAGGATCAGAAATGAAAATGAGGCAACTCTTGACAATATTAAAATGAAAACCCACCAAGGCTCCTCTTCTAAGCCTTTCAAGGAAGATCATATTCCACAAACATGCACTCCCGTTATTTTTGCTTGAACATAATAGCATTTTCACAGGATAAAGGATGTGTTCAAAGCAGTCTCAAACCAGAAAAATATCCTCACGAACACCCTCTGGCCATTGAAGTAAAATTACTTTTTCAATGGGAAGAAAGTTCCTCGTTGGTTTTAGACATTGACTCTTACCATCATGTCATGTGTAGTTGCTAAGTTATGACTATCAAACTATGTTCTAAGAAGCCCCCATTTGGTAAAACATCAATCTCTGCCCAGACCACCTGACAGCAAAGAACCAGTTATTGATTGACAAAAGAGAAAGGAGTGAATTTAGGAATTTAGAGAAACTACCTGATAAGCCCTCTAAAGCCAGATCAAGTAATTGATAAGTCCTTTCCCTGGTATAATAGTGGTCTTCAGACCAGACCTGACTATCTGAAAATAAAGACCTTTTTGTGCCACCAATTCACCTCACTATTGCCCACAGTGTGTTTATCATTAGAGAAACAGAGATGTTCAAGGGGCATCCCTAGGATCTGATCATAACTCAAAAACAAAGGTAAGACTCCTTCCACAATGGTCAGCCCCATTTTCCTCGCCTATCCAAAAAGCCCATCTCGAGTGTGCTGGTATAGAAAAGTCATCCATTTTGAGATGGAAAAAAAAAAAAAACCTATATATGGAGAGAAGAGGGGAAATGTGGAATAGCAGGAAGTTGGTAAAAATCATCACCTCCTAAGTAGAAACCCTGTAAGAGGTAGTAACTTCGGAACTAGCTGAACAGGGTGAAGTATTAAACCTTGGTCACTACTGGATAAAGTTTACCTCTAAAGTTTTTAATTTCGACTCTAAACATATTTAATTAAAAGGAAACTTTCTCTACCGTGAAAAATTTGGGGGAAATGAAAACAACTGTATGTGATGTCCTCTGCCTGGTCTTGGGTTCTGACCTGCCTAGAATTCCCTCCCACCCAAGCCATTTGGGGTTAGGAAAAGCCTGTGGCAACAGAGGCTTTGTACAGATGCATTGGCAGGGCAGGTCTTGGGGAACTGTGCGTGGGCAGGTGGCAGATTTCTGATCTGTAGTTTGCATTGATCTTACGTTTAGACACAGATTCAGAAGAACAGACACCCCCTTTTCCAGTGCCTTCGGAAAGATTGCCGCTCCGTAGAATGAGTCCTTTCTCCTCCACCCTAAATCTACAGCCCAGCTTTCCCGGGAGATCCTACTTTGATTTCCGGTCCTCACCCCACCAGCTGAGCTTGCATTCCTCCTTACAGTCTCTCAATGCACCGGGTGAGCTGAGCTCCTCTAACCTTTCCTCTTGATCTCTGTGCCTTGAAGGCATTTCTGAAATAGCTGTTTTGTATTTGCCATTCATGTGCGTGGAGCGGGCCATGAACGAGTCTCTATGTTTGTGGCCTGCTTTGATATGAGGGGCGTTTGGACCATGGAGCTTTGTGGTGGTCTTGTTTGTGTGGTGTGAGGGTTCCCCTCTTTCCTCCCCCTCCTCCCCAACATCGAGTTGTGGTCAATGTATCAATACAATGGCATTGAAAAGCGATGAGTGAAGTTGTTCTTTTTGCACAAGCTGGTACCACCATGGGCATCCTGCTCTGTCATCGTATGCAATGGCATAGCATGGCACAGGAGCTGGCTGAGGGGAGGCCTCAGAGGTTTGCAACCCTGCTGTATCCAGGAAACCAGCTATGTCTGGGGCACTGGATCAGTGCATCCCCCTGGAGTGATCTGATTAAACATAGACTCAAGAGATCTTTATTGAAAAAAAAAAAAAAAAGACAAAGCACACCAACAGCAGAATGCATCATACAAACAAGCAAGCCAGAGGGCAGAAAGTAAAAACATTTTCTGCAAAAGCCTGTGCTCGCTGGTGGGAACAGTTGGGCTCAAGGCTGGGTTTGGGGTTTGTTTGTTTTTTAACAAGCAAAGGGGAGGGACCACCACTAGTTGAATTAGAAGCCCTCAACTAATTTGAGACCCAAAGATCTGAGTCATTGAAAAGTCTGGCCTCCCCAGAGGTTTCCCACAGCCAAGCAGGTGTGACAGGGCACTAGGCTGACTGCAGGGGAGCTAGACCTGTGTTACCATGCAGGGAACTGTCTAGCAAGTAGACACTTTAAACATCTACGATGCAGACCTATTTGATCTCTTCAGGACTATATTGTAATCATGGATACCCATGATGCACTTTTCACATTTCCAAAGATTTCTTTTGTTTATTATTTTATTCTTTTTTGCTCATCCCACATCCTGGAATGAAGACCACAGCATGACAGTGCAAAAAGGATGCAGAGACTTCAAGCTCTCTTTTAAAATGACATTTTTCTTTGTGCTTTTACGTTTCTTATTGTTTTTCTGTGCACTACTGGTTTTCAGACATGCTTTGTTATGGAATTTTTTTTCCCTTGTGTCTAATGTACGGGAATATTGTAATAGTCTCTGTAATGTATATTGTCTCAAGAATAAAATGAAATGTGGGTTTCGGGGTAATTGATGGCTGTTTGCACTGTTCTGGTTGTATCGTTGAATCTTGAATGTTTGACAGTGTGTTTAAAGTAGTGTAAAAATATTTCACAAAACTTGTTTTGAAAAAGACTTGCACACAGGCCTGATTCATTTAAACATGTAAAAAGCCCTGTTGAGATTTTACAAGTTTATCTTCAAAGCTGGATATGAAATTCGGTTTTAAAACTCCATGTGTTCTCAGGAGAAAATTATTCTTTTGTATGCAATTTCATTCCAGAGTAACCAAAAAAACAAGTAAATTCAAAATCTTTAAATGTTGCTTTTAACTCAATTATTAGTCCTTTCTAACTTCCCTTCTAATTCTTTTGAAAATCATCCTTCAATTGTTTTACAAATTAATATTTTAAAGGTCTTATGAGTTGAAAAAAAAATTATTCTCTCTAGGGGATACCCTAGTGCTCATCACAAGCACGTTTTCTAAGCAGTGTCTGGCACCACTTGAAATCATAGTTCTCACATCTTTGAACACGTTAATACAAGACTGCTTACTCCACCCAATGCAACTCCTCATGGGGCAGGGAGGGGTACCGAATCCTAAAGAAAGGGGTAGTTGGAAAAGTTCCACAGGTAACTCTAAACTATCTCTGAGATCGCTCACACCCCCACCGTCCACCAAATCCCCCTCCTCTTCCTTAGATGTGAAGGACGTAGTAAAACAGTCTGAGGAGAAGATGAGGCCATTTTTATTACATTTCACTCGTGTCGTTATTAATAATTATCAGATGTATTTATTAGCATAGATTACACTTCCCGTTTAGTTACATGCATATCATTTCACTTGGGCCCAGTTACAACAAAGGCCTAACCCGAGTTAGAAGTGCATGGAATAGTGATGGAGAATGGAGTTTTATCAAGATCCAATGTTTTCTCCCATTTCAATGGGATGAATTTTTCTCATTTCTAAACAGTAATCCTTCTTAATATGGAAACTTTAGTGGAGAAAATTGAATTTGAAGAAGGAGAAAATTTAAGCTGTCCAATTTAGAATAAATTAGAGGAGGATTTATGAAATGGGGGAAAAAAGAGGTACTTTTTGTTTCAAAAAAGCAGAGAAGCCATTTTGACTCATCAAATAAACTAACATGAAAGGGCTTTGGTTTTTCATGAATCAAGCCTCTGGTGACTGTATTCAGCAGGTGCTTTTTAAGTGTAAACAAATAATTTTTATCAACGTGGTTGTTGCTTCATAGCTTTGATGTGTAGTATCTCTTTTTAGGATGCAATTTTGAGCCACAATCTGCACCTTACTCTCAATTAGGCAAGTATACCTATTGTAATTGTTATCTTTTTCTTGTGTGATTGGTATGCTCAATTTCCTTCACAAAATAAATGGCAATAGCTTCTTTTATGTCAATAAAATTGTCTAATTGTCATTCAAATACCATTATAATAGCTTCTCAAATACTTAGAAAAATGGAAAAGATACCTGTATTTTAATTTTGCACATCAAAGATTACTTTTTCTGGCCAGTTTCCTTACATATACATCAATGCCAAGCACTCTTTAAGAGCATTAAGTGTGGGTAGAGGTAGTCAGACTGAGTTATGTTCCTAGAGTTTAAAATTGAGCCAATTTTTTGGGTATTAGCCTATCAAAAGAGCTCTGTTTTCTTATCAATGTCCATTTTGCTTCCTATTTCTCTCTCCCATGCCTTTCACTTGGAATGACCACAGTTGACATTAAAAAGCTGCTGGCAGGTATGAAATAAACTTACTCTGTTACAAATAGCAAAGACCACAGTGCCTGTGAGGCGGCTCACGGGTTCCGTAAGTCAGCAGTGACCTCTCTCTAGAGTAGGGGTGTCGAACTCAATCAGAGAAGGGGCCAAAATCTAAAATCCAGCCTAAATCGCGGGCCGAATGGTTTACTGAACAGTCATAAACTGTCATTGTGATGGAAACGCAGCGAAGTGCAGTGATGACAGCGTGGTGCGGGCCACATTGCAAGGCCTGGCGGGACGGATTTGGCCCGCGGGCCTTGTGTTTGACACATGTGCTCTAGAGTGTGTGATCGGCCGGCGGCATTTAGAACTTGGGGCGTAGCATGGTGGACAAAGACATCGTTCTGTCTGCACCTCATGTCCCAAACACCTGCTACAAACTGTATGTTTGAGTTATAAAGGATGCAACCTGTCCCGTGTCCACATCACAAACACTCATGAAAACCCGTTCATGTCGCTGACAGCATCGCAGCTTTTCTGAGTTTTTACTAGCCCCGAGGACATTTTCAAAATGACTACATTTGAGCAGTTCTGCCGAAGGAATAGTTCCTGGTCTCTGTGTGTTTTGTCCCTCCTCCATTTAGGACTCTTAGATCCCAGCCTCCCTGTCTCAGGGTCACACAGGCATCTAAGGGCGTCCCTCTCTTTATGTCTCTGGTGTACTGTCTGCCAGTCACCGGGGGAAGGCACTTGCACCTTCCAAAATCGATGCTACTGCACTCCCGGATCCCCTGGTTGGGAGTGCGGTCTGAGCCAGGCCACCGCTGCTAAATCGGTCGGGTGTCCTCCGTCTGCTTCTGGGCACAGAGAGTACCAGCTCCCAGGAGATGGCCCCTGTCTACCCACTCACGACCCCTCCTGGCCCCGGACACCTCCCTCCTGCATGGCAGCATGACAATGGGACACAGCGCCCCTCAGCCGCCCAGGAGGCTGGTATAGTATTGGGTTCGCTGGATCCGTCTCACTAACCCCACTCCTTTCCTTTCGTCCCCAGTGGCCTGGTTTGCTTTTGACCCCGGCTCCGCACACTCGGACATCATCTTCTCCAACGACAACCTGACTGTGACCTGCAGCAGCTACGACGACCGGGTGGTCCTGGGGAAGACCGGCTTCTCCAAGGGGGTCCACTACTGGGAGATCACCGTGGATCGCTACGACAACCACCCCGACCCTGCCTTCGGCGTGGCCCGCATGGACGTGATGAAGGATGTGATGTTAGGAAAGGACGACAAAGCCTGGGCAATGTACGTGGACAATAACCGGAGCTGGTTCATGCACAACAACTCGCACACCAACAGGTACCCTGCAGCCCCCACACTGAGCCTTCTTCACGTTGGCTTCTGGTCGAGAACGAGAGCCCAAGTTCAAAGACCTGTTACATAGACAACGTTAAGGAGGTGGAGGTGGAGGTCGGGCAGGCGGTCTTCGTTAAGTAGCACAGGAGGAGTCCTGCTAGTCTTAACTGAGGACATCCTGGTGGGTATTGTGTTTGCTTGTTTGATCACGTAACAGCAGAGACCTGAGCTCTTTCCTAGGCTCTTCATTGTAATATCCCACCCCTGGCTGGACACTAAGAATCCCCAGGCACACCCATTAGAGGACAACATTCCAGGAGTCTAAAACTCTAGTTCCACTTAGCAGAAAAGCCGTGTTGGACAAGTTATTTTGTTTTTCCAAACCTCAATTTTTAAATCCACCAAATGAGGATATTAATATTTTTCCATGCAGGAATGTTCCCAAGATTAAATGGAATGTGCAAACATGCCTACATCAGAGGCATCTGAAAATAGAAGCTCTTGTTTCTCTTCTTATGATTATTCCCAATACCACTGCTCAGCAGAGAGGCCAGTTAATAAACTAAATCTTGTGGATGCCAATTTGGATAGCTTTGTACGTGAAGAAGTCTCTTCTAGTTGTACAGATTCAGGGCACCCAGTGTGGTGGGGAAGGAGAACATAGCACTATCCTTAGGTTTTCCTCTATCACCAAAATGTAGCCCACACGGTGACAGCTGTCACCCACACTGTGACAGTTTTCCTTGACTCCTTTCTATTTGGTTTGTGTTTTCTTCCTCAAATGTATTTTTTATGAATTTCTTAGATAAGTATCTTTCATGGACCCTGTCCTCTTTATGCTCAATGATTTTCCCAGGATACGTTCTCATTGGTGATTCTTAAAATAATAATAACAATAATAATAATAATAATAATAATAATAAATCAGTCCAATCAAAAGGAAAGTGAGCGAGTCAGTGGTAGGATAGTGGCCTACACTTTTCCAGCCTTTGCTACATGCTCATTGCTGCTCCGCCTCTAGCCAGGGTCTCCAAGGGCCTCCAATTCCTGTTCCCTGGCTGGTATGTATTAATCTCTCCTTAAGGGAGCACGCATCCCCTTTCAGCCTGCTGTCAAACCCTATTAGGTGGAGCTCAGTTGTTTTCTTCAGTGACCTACATTTGGGGGGATCCCTCTGTAACTGGATCCCGGAATCCACCACCCCTGTACCATGCTTACCTTTCCCTCTTAGCTTCTTCATTTTGAAGTGAAGGGGTGAATAATGGCCACTGTCACACTATGCAGAGAAACACATTCTTAAAGCTGAACACGCCTGCTTGCATGCACATTCGTGGCACTTGTGCTGTCATTGTTGAAGGTGTGAATACAAGTCACAATTTGTAAACCTGTCTTCTAACAGCTGTGTGTAGTCCGTTTTCTGCATGTCAGAGGGAAAGACCAGCACTCTTAAATGTCTGTGCTCTGCGGACAGGAGGAGGGAATTAAATACTGCCAGCCCTCAACCAGGGGAAGTGGCAGAGCTGCTCATCCGTGCTGAACGGTGTTTGTGAAACCATCCATTGAAGCATAAGACACAATTCACTGTGAAGTTCAGATTCTTTAAAATCACTCAGTCTCCTGCAGGGGAGCGCCTCCTTCCTCGCTGTTGTCACTTCATGGAGAGCCTCCAACTTCTCAATGCCCATGCAGCATGCAAAGTTACCATCTTCCTGGAATGAATTTTTCTATTTCAAGGGTAGCCTAAGGCCCCCAAATCCAATTTTTCATGCATATGTTTAAGTTCGGCTTAAATTCTTCTCTATTTTGATTTTTAAATTAAGTCCTTCTTGATTAAATGATATTGAATCCACACCCTCTGTGCAGCATGTAGGACACAGCTGTGGGCAGAACTCAGCCGGCCCAACGGCTACTCTCTTTCTTGGTCTTCAATTCGTTGTTTGCGGAGCCGAGTCTCGGTGCTGGTGACTGTGTGAATGAGGTCACTCTCAGCAACAGCAGAGCAGTGCTGTTGAACCCATTCGCTCTCAGGAGGGGCCATATTTCCCCCAAGTGCATGAAAACTGGTTTGGGGGGGAGAGGGGGAGGTAAGCAAAAAACCCTACCTTTTAATATATAAAGCACAGATATGCATCCACACATACATAGATGCACAATGTATCTGTGATATTAACATTTCGTGTAAAGAGAAGCGATTAGGGAGGAGGGGGCTGTCTTAAAAGGCTCCTGAGAGGGAGGAGGCGATACCTGTAAACAATCCAAAGAACACTTACCCATACAAACAGGGAGCCCCCAGCACCGTGACAGGAAAGGGAAATCCAATTGCTTTTTGTTGTTGTTTTCACAGAACTGAGGGAGGGATCGGAAAAGGGGCCACCATCGGAGTCCTCCTCGACCTAAACAGGAAAACCTTGACGTTTTTTGTCAACGACGAGCAGCAAGGGCCCATCGCCTTCGAGAACATGGAGGGCCTCTTCTTCCCGGCCGTCAGCCTGAACAGGAACGTGCAGGTCAGCCTCGCGCTGTGGGTGCAGAAGCAGCTTCTGCTCGCTCTGCTTCTAGCTGCCCGTGGGCGGGCAAGTCCACCCCTGAGAGAGGGAAGCGGACCGTGTCAGGTCCAGATCCAGACAGGCAGGAAAGGAGGAGGGAAAGGGGTCAACATTACAACTGACATGCTCCCAAACCAGCCTAAGCCCCTTCGTTCTACTTGGACACAGTCTAGTTAACAGCAAGTGGGAAGCTGGAATTCTATTCGTGGTTTACTAATAGCTGTCCCTCTGAGCCCTCATTTCATCTTTAGTAGAAATGAGACTCCTGAACCATCTGGCATGGAAACAAGTGCCTCATGCAGTCCCATGAGTGCCTGAGACGAGAGGATGTAAGACCAAGCTATTAGCACTGTTACCAGAAATTTTGAGCATCTTCTCTGCACTCTTACTTGATGTATGAGGATGGAAAACAGTCCCTGCACACACACACAAAAAAGTAGTTATTTCTGATTTATTGTGAACTAGCGGCCTGGTGCACAAAGATTCATGCGAGAATGGGTCTTTCTTCCCCTGGCTGCTGGCACCACCTTTGCTCTGGCCTGGAGTTGTCTTTCCCCCTTCCCACACTGCTCAGAGGCCCTGAGCGGCTGGGGCAGTGCGGAATGCCTGTGTCCTGCCCGAACCCCAGCTGCTCAGCGCCTTCACATGCAAATTAACCCGCCATTTTTGTTGGGTTAATTTGCATACTCACTCCTGATTGGCTGTTGGGTGTAGATAGGAAAATAACAGATCCTTCTCATTCATTCATTCAACAAATATTTGTTGAGTGCCTTTACTGTGTGAGGCACTATTATAAGTATTAATCATCAGCAAAAACAAAAACAGATAAAAATCTTCCCTTCCAAAAGCTCACATTCCAGTTGAAGGAGACAGACAAGTAAGCACAATTACCATGTTCAATATAGAATGTGTGTGAAGGCAGTCAGTGAGAGGGAACAAAAACCGAGGTAGGGGAAGGGGATCAAGAATGCTGGGGTTGGAGGGTATTGCCGTCTTAAACAGGGTGGTCAGTGTGGGTAGGCCTTGATGCACTCACAGGTGAGCTGAGCCTTGAAGGGGGTGAGGGAGGGAGCTATGTGGTGCTTTCCAGGCAGAGGAAACAGCCAGAGCAAAGTTTCTAAGGCCTGAGGGGCCTCAACAAGCAAGAAAAGGCCACTGGGGTTGGGGGCAGTGGGAGAAATGATCAGTAAGGGGTGGGCCCTGCCAGCCACAGCTAGGACTTGGGCTTTCATTTCCCTCTTGAGCTGGAACTCCCATTGTCAGCGTGAATCTCACTCAGCAAATGGCTGCCTTAACCTGTTAACCGGGGAGTTCCCTTTTTAATTACGCAACGTACAACGGGCACATACTCTTTCACTAGGACGTGTCAGTACGTCACGCCCAGTGGACGTAATTTTATATTATTATTTTTTTTATTTATACTTAATTAAAATAAATGAAATATTTTTTTGTTTATTTATATATAAAGCACAAAGGAAAATACAAAATTACAAATAGAAAAGAATACCAACAAAAAATGGAAACACTGAATTAAAAAATTATAAATTTTACAAACAATTATAAAGATTACAAAAATATATATTTTTTATTTCTATACACAATAAAAAATATAAAAAAGTTAACAATTACAGAACAATAAATAAAAGCACACAAATAAAATAGAAATATTGTGTTTAAAAAATTGAAATATAGATGTAAAAATTTAAAACTCAACTTCCGTGTGATATATTTTAAAACAATTGTTGATACATATTGCTTGCTACCTTACAATCCAGACACCAGGATGTAGATTCTTTCCTAACACCTTTTTTGTAGCAAACTTAGCATTTCCTGGATTTAGTTTTTACTATATCGCTTTTCATTTGTTCTGGAAAATGCCTTTCAACTAAGCATGATGGTTTAGATGTAGAGCTGCTTGTTGATGTCTTTGGGTGGGTTTTCACTATGTTGTTATCTACCAATTTCTCTACACACTCTATCAAAAAGTGTAATCAATCCAAATAACCTTTATCTTTTTTGTATATAATATATGCACTGAGGCAGCATATATCAATTAATTGTAGAAAAATTTTTTTATAAAATTTTTTTACCCTATTATGGGCAGCCGTGTAGGCCACCATAACCCCATCTCCCAAATTCTTGTTATAATCCAGGACAACATTCGGTTTTTCTTGCCTTCTTCCTCTCTTTTCAGTCATTGTCTTTTCATCATTATGAATAGAACTGAGCATCAGTATATCTTTTTTATCCTTCCATTTTAAAACCATAAGTTTATCTTTGATTCTTACTGTATGTTCATTTTTCTGTAATTTTTTTGTTTTTATTTCACTGGGGATTCTGACTCTGTTTATCCTCATTGTTCCAACAATGTCTGTATTGTTTTGACACAAGAGTTCAGCCAAATGAATTGACATATATAAATTATCTAAGTAAATTCTATACCCTTTATTCAGTAAGTCATGTGTTAACTCCAAAACAATTCTTGATTGTTTTTCTTGTGGGTAGTTTGAACCATAATTTGTGTCCTTGCCTGTATATAAAATTATATTTTGTATGTTTCCAGATTGGTTTTCACTCAAAATAAACAACTTCATTCCAAATCTAGCTGTTTTTGTAGATATATATTGTTTCCAAGATAAATTCCCTTTCCATAATAAAAGAGATTCATCTACGCATATTTCTCATTCACATACATAAAAACTTTTAAACTTTTCTGACAAATTATTGATGATTGGATCAATTTTATATGTTTTTCTATTATATAAAGGTTGGAGATATAAAAAATATAAGTAAATAATATATAATATGAAAATAGGTAGGTAAGTGTAAGTACGTACCGGCCACTGCTCACCCAGAACACGTCCACCACTCTCAATAGCGAAATTATACTGATTCCCTCCGTGTCTTAAATTCATGTCGAGACATGTATGGATGACTAATACCTTTGTTGTTCGGAAATATATGTCCCGCCTGTTTCAGGGCACAACATATATTTCAAGGACGTATTCATATGTCCTACCCGTACCCGATATTGTTTACGTTTGACGTATTTATATGTCCCTCTCGGTTAACAGGTTAAGATAGGACTTGAGCTGAAACCAGTTTGGCTCAGTGGAAAGAGCGTCAGCCTGCAGACTGAAAGGTCCCAGGTTTGATTCCAGTCAAGGGCATGTACCTTGGTTGCAGGCACAGCCCCAGTAGGTGCAAGAGGCAGCTAATCAATGATTCTCTCTCATCCATGTTTCTAACTCTCTGTCCCTCTCTCTTCCTCTTTGTAAAAAATCAATAAAATATATTATTTTTTTAAAAAAAGGATAGGACTTGAGAATCAAAACATTGCAGGTAATTTTTGCTCTACTCAGAACCACAATGTTGGGAACTATTTTAAAAATCCATTGTTTATCAGGATGTATTATAGAAGTGATGCCAGCCCAGTGACCTCTGCTCTTCTCTCTTCCTGCAATTAGTTGCGTTTTCCTGGGAGGCTGAAATCTAATCTATCAAGTTCAGCCTGTACACTGGAAAAAAGGAAACCATAAAATATCCTAGAAGTGAGCTTTGGAAAACCTAATCCAAAGTTCCCACAGTTTTAGCTGCTCTGAGTATCTTTAGATCAAGGCTCTTGGGCTGGGGAAGAGGAGGGTAAGAACTGGAACCATGGCAGTACTGTGCGAAATGATTCTAGCCTTGTCCATTGCTGTATGAGGTTGGACAGAAGTCAGCGAAATTGCATTAAGGGCCCATTTTTCTTACACCTGACAATCACCTATGCAATCCCCAATTGGAATAGCAAGTGAACAAGTAATAACGGAAGGGTTGTCTGCTTATCTGTTCTCTAACCATGAATTTGGCAATGATCACTACAATGTGGCCAACAGGCTTTGCAGATCAATGCCTGGGTCGTTAGTCATAAGGAACACAATCTCTCCAGAATCTTAACATGAGAACCATAGTATCAAGTGTCTCCAGGATCTGGGAGCCCACCATGATGACCAGGTTCCTAGCATGGGGAGAATTCTACTGCAATTCTCTTCAACGTGCTCTAGAGTTTGGATTAAAGAAGAGTGACCAGATCCCTTTTGAGTTAGGAACACACCCACTGTGCCCTGGGAAGGAGGGTGCAGGGAGAAGGGGAGGCAGGGGTCCTGCTATGCCTCCAAGACTCACAGTCTCTCCCCGCAGGTCACACTTCACACCGGACTCCCAGTCCCTGACTTCTACTCCAGCAGATCATCAATAGCCTAAGGACGGCTGTGGAGGCGCCAGCTGCCTGCTCCCACCTCCGCCTGAGGAGCAACTGCAAGGAGCTCAGCCGGAGCTTGGTGAGATGCCAGAAAGCTGGAAGGAGAGGAAGAAGGAGGAGAGCAAAGCTGGTCCTCTATGGTCTTTACACCCCACAGTTCCGCCCCTTCGCTTCCACCCTCTCCATTGCTGTAATGCCTGCGTTCGCTCCCATATTCAGCAACTCCAACCAGCGAAGGACCCAGACAACCCACATGTCACTTCATTTCCTCTTTCAGACTTTGCTTTTAGTTAACTTCATTTCTATGTGGGTGAGTTGCCTCGTGTTTCCCTGCTGATCATGCTATCAGTGACATATGGAACTGGCCCTGCCAAGAGGAAATTGTTTTCTTAAGCTTTCTGTCAGAGGTGGTAGGGAGAGGTAGGGAAGGAGGAACTGAACTTGGAGCCTAGAATGCTCTTGCCCTGCTACCTCTCATGCAGTGTTAGCTCTGCATAGCTGATCTTTGGGAGGTGGACGGAGTGAAGGTAGCTTTGAAAAGTTTTCCTATCCATTGAAGCACAAAACTATCAGCTACACTGTGGATAGGATTGCTAGGATTGCTGGGTCATTAGGACAGGCCAGACCCCTGGTCATTGAATGAAACTGAAAAGTCTCCAGACATGAGCAGACCAAGGCACTTAACAATTTGGTTCATTTCTTTAATACACATTTCTGATTGAGAGCTTATTATGGACCGAGCACTATTCTAGGGACACGGGACACAGTGGTGAGTACACAGGTGTGGTCTCTGTCCTCCTAGGGAGAACAACCCAAAAACAAAATGATAACAAATTGTTATAACTAGAAAGAAAATAAATAAGGGAGAGAGAGAGGCTCATTGGCAAGGTCTCTCACACCCCTTGCCATGATACTAAAAATCCATGTATTTTGGTCATAGCACCAGAAACCCACCAACTCAATGCCTTTTCAACCGTGCTATTTTAATTAGGGTACCTGCTGCTATTCATCATAGAGCCCTTCTTTGGTAGAAACAATGTCAACACTCTTATTTGTTAATGCTGCAACGATACTAAGCCTTAAAAATGTATGGGGGGCAGAGAGGAGGAACAGTGGCCAGAAGGAGGTGGGCCCATCCTCAGCAGTGGGGGACTTCGGTCTCAGTCCATCTTAGCGCATTCTCAGGATAAACATGCTCACCCCCGTGTACTCTCTGTGCCTGTGACTGTTGAGAAAAATCCATCCTCTCTGCTGCCACGCTCAACCTGACTTCCTGGAGTCGTTCAAATAATGTTTGGAAGAAAATGAAATTGTATGCAGTTGCTATGAGTGATAGCAAAATAATAACGCTTGTTCCTTCTAGAGAGAGAGAGAGAGACTGACATGTAAGTTCCCCTTCAGATTCTTTAGCTGAATATGACATTTTAGAAAATGTAGGATCTGGAAGGATGTTCTGATCAGTGGTCTAAATATTTTCCAGTGAGCCAAGGAATTCACCATGAAAACAACAACAACAACACACACACCAAGAATAACAAATAAAAGCGAAGAGGTAGGATGGAAAAGCTAGCAAATTAAAGTTTTGGCAAAAAAAAAAGTATATATGTAAATAGCTACTGATTTAGTTCTGTGCTTACCTGGTTTAGATGCGTTCTCTCAGTTCCAGCTTTCTAGTCACGTGTACCTAATTTATTGAATGGGTGCTATCCCGTGTCTGTCCGTCCTGGTTTCCCTCGGCTACAGAAAATCTCCGTTGCAGGGCAACACTAGTCTGATATTTGATTTACTCTCCAATGAGACTCGATAGCTGGGCCGCTGTAGACTCATAGTTACCTTGTCCTTTATGAAATCCATCCTGCTAATTAGAGTTCTAGTGACTTGTAACATGTAGTTTACACAGAATTGCAAGAATAGAAGCTGCTGTACTAGGAAAAAAATGACATTTCTGGTGTGCCAATAAATGATTTTTATGAGAGAACATGATATGTGTCTTTGGAATCTCTTATTTTTCCTGCCTGTTTGGGAATGACAACTCGCCTTGGTCAAAGCAATGCTTCTTCAGGGACGTGTAGCTGGAAAGTCCCGCAGAGCTCTTGAAAGCACCTGTTATTTATCCCCTTTTTCTCCTGGGCGCTGGCACTGTCTCCCGGGAGCACTCAGTCCCTCAGTCCTAACTTAGTGTGAAACTTTAATAGTTTAGATGCGGGTGGGGTCTCCCTCCAACCACTGGTGACTGGCTTTAACAAAGCTGCTCCTAAAGAAGCCACAGACGCATACTGCAAAGCACAGTGTCGCTGACTTTTTCAAACCTCGTCCCTTCAACATTCTTCTGAATGTTTATGTGGCTAAATAACACAATTGTTTTTGTGTGCATTCGGATGGCTAAACAATATGGTTGTTTTTAAGTCATTGCAACATTATTGGTCTCCTTTGCATTGTTAGTAGCTTCTTAAAATACACTGCGGTTGTTCTTCGAGAAAAGAGAAGCATCACCTAAACTTTAGGTCCTAAAGGGATACGATCCAGGCTTCTCTCACAGAGCGGGGCATCAGGCAGGTGGCAGCAGCTGCGGCTCTGCCAGGTTTCTGCCCCTCCCTCTTTTCTCATCATCTGCCCCTCCCCCAATGTTTTTTTCTTCTTCTCCTGTTGGCCCCACCTCTCCTCTGTTTTTTCCTCTCTTTTGTTCACTTCCTAATGGAACACTTTGTCTGGTTTTTTACTCTTCTCATGGTGTTAAGGTTAATGGAACTTCTGATTCCTGCTATTTTCTCAGAGGAGCGATTAAGTGATTTACAAGAAATCATCTCATTTTCTGGAAATGAGATCCTGTTTTTTTCTGCCTCTGACGTGTGCTTTAATCAATAGTCGACCTATTGATAAGACAGGAGGGCTTGCTTTTGAATCAGGATTTCTGATTATGAATCAAGGGAACTTTGGCTAAAGAGCTTCTCAGATCACATTACTTTTGTAATTCATATGCTAAAGACACCTGCATATATTCTTCAACTATATGTGCCAGCTGCTTCCACTGAGATTGGTGTTTATGGAATCTTAGGTCTGACATACATCACACATTACTGAGGCTACCTACATCTTGTCTTCATCTGAAGAGCCAACTTTTGGGATGCCTGCAGAATGTGGGGTATTTTGAACAATGGAAGCGCCTAATTAAATACACAGAAACAGCCCTGTCCAGTTGCACAGTGGTGAGAGCATCGGCCCTTGGACTGAAGGGACGTGGTTCGATTCCCAGTCAAAGGCACCGAGTTGCAGGTTCCACACCTGGCCCTGGTCGGGGCATGTGTAGGAGGCAACCAATCGATGTCTCTCTCACCTTGATGTCTCTCCCTCTTTGTTTCACTTCTTCCCTTTCACTCTCTAAAAATCAATGGAAAACCTATTCTTGGGTGAGGATTAACAACAAAAAGATAAACAAATAAATGCACAGAAACATCAGTCTGGTCCTTTGCATTTATCATCTCCTCCACTCTGCTGCAGCTGTGCTAAGCTAAGAGAAGCTGCAGGGATAGAGTTAGGTATCACAGAATTAGAAAGTGGGGATGGCTGCATAACCTTGTGAATACAGTAAAAATCACTGAACTGTACACTTTGAGTGAAGGGCCATGTGGACATGACCAGGACTCTCCTTGCAGCCTCCCTCACACCACAGCCAACAGTCCATTCCTATCTTACCAAGCCTGTCCTCTAAGGCAGTGTTTCCCAAACTTCTCTCATGATGAGAATCACCTGGTTAAGTATGCACTTAGTTAAGTATACAATTTTACCTATATGTTCCCAAAAATTCTAGTTCAGCACTTCTTAGTTGGGATTCAGGAATCTGTATTTTAACAACACCAGGTGATTCTCATCATGAGAGAAGTTTGGGAAACATCACTCTAAAGCCCAAAGCAGAAGGGGAGGGGTGACGAGGACCTAGCAGCTGACCCCTGACCCTTTCTTCTCTTTCCCTTCCCACTTCCCCACACTCTCTACCTTCCTAGCGGGGGCTTTAACCTGCCCCTTTTCTGAGGGCCATTGTTGTGGAGAGAGTAGAATACCTGGCTATCATTAAGGAAGCAATTAAAAATAGTGCTTACATCAAGCATGTCAAATTTTGGGCTTGCGGGCCGCATGTCTTGATTATTTGGCTTGTGATGGCCTTTGAGTTTGACATGCTTGGCTCACATACTCTGGTTATGAATCTTGTTCACATATTTTTTCTTCTCCCACAGATAAAAGTAAACATACCATGAAACCCAAAAGGGTTAATATTGTGGTTGATAATCTTGCCTTTTTCCTCCCAACAATTTTTCTTAAATTCTCTAATAATTAATGAAGACAATGGAAATAATTTCATAAATAAGCAAGGTTGAATGTTAAAATGTTAATTACCTGCTTATCAACTTACAAACCATCTTTTTTTTTTTTTTACCCTCACCCAAGGAAATGTTGATTTTAGAAAGAGAAGAAGGGAAAGGGAGAGAGAGAGAGAAAAACATCAATGTGAGAGAGAAACACCGATAGTTGCCTCCTGCAGTGCCCCCAACAAGGGATCGAACCCGCAACCTAGGCATGTGCCCTGGATGGGAATTACACCTGCCAACTTTTGGTGTATGGGACAATGCTCCCATCAACTGAGACACCCAGCCAGGACCAAACCATCTTTTGATGTATGACCATGATTTTTAATGTGTTTGATGAAGGAAACTATAAAGCTAAAGAAACCATCTTAAAGAGAGAAGCTTCATGAAGCTATAAACCAGGGCTCTCTACCATGGCTAAAATTCTCTAAGTGCAATAAGTTCAACTATGATTTTATATATGTCCTGCACCAAGAGAGGGACATAACGTGAGATAAAGCATGTAAGAGTGCTTTGCACAATAAAGATGAAAGACATGTTAATACAGGATTAATTGCTGTAACCTCTGCACTCTGCATAGCAGACAAGCCTGAGAGGAAGGAGTAGTGCAATGGCTGAGAGCAGTTTCCAGCAGTGACTGACTCCTGGCCCTGGCCTTGGCCCTGGCCCTGGCCCTGGCTCAAAGGTGTGCCAGCTGCGTGCCCTGGAATAAGCAATGAAAACTCGTATAGTTTCCACACCTTTAAAGTGGAGAGAATCATAGACTTTTCCAAGGGTTAAATCAAATAATATATGTAAAACAGTCTGAACAATTCCTGGCCCATAATGAGTGAGTGCTATGGTATTTTATTTGTGTGCGATTCATTAATAGTCCACAGTTCTATCCCTTTCCACCATCACATTTTGTTTATTAATCCTCACTCCGGGATATTTTTTCCATTGATTTTTTTTTTTTAGGGAGGAAGGATAGGAAGGAGGGAGTGAGAGAGAGAGAAACATTGATGTGACAGAGTCACATGGGTTGGTTGTCTCCCATACATACCCTGACTGGAGCCAGGGATTGAACCCACAGGGTATGTGCCCTTGACCAGGAATCGAACCTGAGACACCTTCCTGCTCCAGCTGCCACCCCAATCACTAAACCACACCGACCAGGGTCCCTCCCTTTTTTATTACTAAGATCCCATTTGAGTGTCAATAAAAATTCTTACCATCATCTTCTTGGGAGACAATGCCTATTTTTGGAATTTGACAAAATGTTTGTTAAATTCTCCTGCAAAAAATTAATGAAAGAATGTAGGCAAGCAAACTCTGAGAAAAGGTAGTAACTTAACTTGTAGGACACATTAAAATCTATTTCAAATCCCCAATAATCAAAGTGGTGTAATATTCCTACACTCAGCTACAAGATAACTCAGACATAGAAATTTTAGTAGATGTTGAATAGAGAATTACAATGGAGGAAATGAA